TCCTTCCTTCTTCCTTCCCTTCCTTCCCTTCCTTTCCTTCTTCCTTCCCTTCCTTCCCTTCTTCCTTCCCTTCCTTCCCTTCCTTCCCTTCCTTCCCTTCCCTTCCTTCCTTTTCCTTCCTTCCCTTCCCTTCCTTCCTTTTCCTTCCTTCCTTTTCCTTCCTTCCTTTTCCTTCCTTCCTTTTCCTTCCTTCCTTTTCCTTCCTTCCTTTTCCTTCCCTTCCTTTCCTTCTTCCTTCCCTTCCTTCCTTCCTTTTCCTTCCTTCCTTTTCCTTCCTTTTCCTTCCTTTTCCTTCCTTTTCCTTCCTTTTCCTTCCTTTTCCTTCCTGTTCCTTCCTTTTCCTTCCTTTTCCTTCCTTTTCCTTCCTTTTCCTTCCTTCCTTTTCCTTCCTTCCTTTTCCTTCCTTCCTTCCATCCAACTTCCTTCCTTCCTTCCATCCAACACATCTCCGTCGACCACTCAGTCTCGCTCCCCCGCGGCGAGTGCAACTAAACGAGAACCCAAGCATCGGAGATGCTTTTGGGAAAAAATTGCAAGCCACTGAGCTGTCCAGATGCCGTCTGATGTCTTTCGTTTCGTCTGTCACTTGACCCAGAAGCAATGCATTACCCTAATGAGTATTGCTGTAATGCCACTGATCATTGATCCCCGCGTACAATTGGAAACATGACCCATCAAATTCAACCCATCAAAGAAGAAGGGGGAGTTTGAATGCAAAATATCGGTACTTGGATGTTCAAGACATGATACACACGCATGCTGAGGCAGTTCGCCGTGATCTCTTTTTTCGCCTTCAGCGAATGACGCTCAAGAATGCATTCCGATGCACATGAAACCTTTGCGGCAACCAACATGGCTGCACAACGCTTGACCTGAGGTAAGGTCGACCTCCAATCCTGGCAGAACTTTTGTATGTGGCAAAAACCTTCCACATGCTGTCTTCAGATCAACTCCTTGCCATTTCGGCAAATCTGCATGAGGTGTCGTAGTGGACACCATTATGTGCCATGTCTTCCGGTGCAAGCCTACAATGGCTTCCTCTGCTGAGTCCCCAAGGTCAGTGGCACCCGTTTTCAAAACCTTCTGAGGTGTAGGCTGTACATCCTCCTCTGAACTGTCTGAAGATGATGAGGATGAGGAGGAGCTGACATCGGACTCGGCTCCCTCTGATACCAGCTCATCTTGCTGGGGCAGGTCAGCGATGCATTGCAAGCTGGACTTGGTATTAAATAAGAAAAATTTCCATTCTGGTATGTCGACATTTTTCTTGAATTTCTCAAGCGTGAATTGGGGCTCAATCAGTGGCAGTTGGCCTCCGCGGCTCAGTGGTGTGACCGGGCGCCACCCTTGTGATGCTCTAGAAATTAACTCAGATTGGACCCGGAGGCTGCCTAGGATGTCATCTCGAGAGTAAAGTTGGACGCTCATTTGGGCTGGCTTATGTTTACCATGAACCCTCCTATCCTCCTCAGGGAGGTTGGCCTGGGCTGCCCACGACAGCACTGTCGCCTTGAGGCTGTGCACCGAGTAGCTGGATGCATCTACCTGGAGCGGAGCATTTTGATGACTCCATGGGAGGGTCATGTAGTACCTAAGGTAATACAAGGCTTCAGCATAAGTCATAGCCTCAAAAGGAATGATGGGATCACTCTGGTTGTGAAACGCCGGGATTGCGAAGTCAATCTGACTAGCTTCTTGGTTGGCATAAAGGTCATCTAAGGTTTTCAAAAGCTTCATCGTCCATGTCCATGAACCTTGGGACAAAAGGCCCGACAACAGGATGCCGAACGGCGTTGCCGTGGAACAGGTCTTTGCTCTCCAGGTCAGTCCCCTCAGGGACGATGGATCAAGTTGCCATGAGGCTAGGTGCGAACGCTGGAGATCGCTGAACCTAAGGCCTGACCAACATAACATGAGCAGGCCGCCCAAAATGATCACTTCTTTGTGGGATGCCTGAGACTGCAGGATTCGGCGTTCCCACTTCATGATAATATAAAGTGGGAAAGGAAGGCTCTCTCTACGGTCGCTGGGTATTTTTTGTTTTTCAAATGAAGAAATTAAATGGCCATATGCATGTCGAAAATGTTGAACACCCAGAGATTTGCATGCCCAACGCAAGGCTTTGATTGTCACTGATTTGGGACCCGAGCCATCGGATCTGCGAGCTAATGAACCACAAACCAGTAAATCCGCCAGGATCGCTTCTGTCAACGTCGACAATGAAACCTGCATGTCGCGACAAAGCTGGACAAACTGCAAAATGCATGTCATGTATCTGACTAATGTAGTGGCTGCAAATTGGTTCAAAAGTCTGGATGCATGTTCATCCGGAAATGCACTGGACTGCATCTGTTCTAAAACTTCGGAGTGCTCCCTCAATGCTGCTGAAGACTGCGTCCAAAGTTTCCACACGACCGGTGACTGGGATGCGATCCGAATGCGGGTCAGGTTGGATGCATTGCTGGATTGTGTGGGCCCCAACATTTTTGAAATCTTAGGTGCAGACTGCGTCTTGGATTTAGTACCTGGAACTGGATTCCCCAGCCAAATCGGATCCTGTGGCTGTTCCTCCAGAGGGTCATCTCGGATGCAACTACGCGGAGTCGGCTGTGAAAATGCAGGGGCTGGCAAACCTTTGGCCATGTCATCATGCTGTGAAACATTGGGATATCGCAATGATTCTATATTACTCTCAAAATTGGCCGGTCGTGGCAAACCACTTGAGTGCTGGACCGATGATGCCTTTGGCAATGTTGGTCGTGAAACTGGGCTGGATGCTGACAAAATATCTGCAACCTGAAACGGGGCACGGATCCGTGGACATGCAACTCTGGACAGGTTTGAAGGCAATGGCAATGCTTTGGGAGTCGGATGAATCACTTGCCACCCTTCCACACTGGAGACATCGTCGAATGCTGCAAAATCCCAATCTGAATTATCCATCGGAATCGTCTTCAATAAAGATCACAGGTGACACAGGGGATCCTACCAAAGGAGTGTCAACACAACGAAATGTAACTGTCACACGCAGCAAAAAAGAAGATGTCTGGGCAAAATGTTGTGTGTCGGCAGTGAATCCAGATGTCTCGTCGGCCAAAAACAGAATGATCTCAACGCGCAGATGTCTAAACAGTGGATGGGTGAAAAGCAAACGAAAGGCTGCTGAGGGCCCGATGAGGATGCGTGGCGCAATCGCCGAACTCCTCATGCCATTGCACTGGAAACGCCCGGGATGTGGACAAGTGCCCTAGAAATCCCCCAAATTGAAGTTCAGAGAAATAAACCTGTGAAATAGAAGCTGGAAGTATGACATCAAAAAAATCCGAAACACATGTCCCAAAAACCACAAATCCAAATCGCCATGCCAAGTGCAAAATTAGCTGGCTAGAAAAAATTAAGCAAACAATGACGCAATGTACGCTAATGCAATGAATGCCACCTTGAGCCAAAATGTTTAGGGGATATCTGATCAATCTAACGAAGTACCCCCACTAAACATTACTGAACAAGTACAGTTAACGACCATCAAGTTTGGGCGGTGGTGTGAAGCAACAAACCTTGGAGTTACAGGTCTCTAAAATGATGGCGGTCATGCTGCAAGGCGTTCCGGGTGGAAGATGGGATTTGCAACTAAGATCTAACTGCAGTTTGGATGCAAAAAACTACACATCTTCATCATTCTTTATCAAGCATAAACCAACATCAAGCAGAGCAATTATGTCGCGCGGTGCGACCAGTTCTGGACCATGTTGTTTCTGGCAAACCTCACAAGACAAATCCATGTATAAGTCAGTATATAAACATGCATAAAAAGATGCAAGGCAAACCTCAAAACCTTTTAAGGAACTCTAAACATATTTGGCAGGTCAACAAACATTAGCACCCTGTCATTCAAACATCAATTTCTCCTTACGTCTGGATGATATGATTATGGACACACTACTGGTACCTTGATATCAATATAGTTGGAAAATGCATGTTCACCCTCCATTTGGGGAAAAAACATAGGCACACTGCCAATGTAGTAAACCCAAAACAAGAAGGTGCCTACAAACCAAAACCATAGATGGGAAATCGTTGGTCCATGGGGTACCATCGCAAGATCCCAAGCCAAAGCAATCCAAGACCTGTTGGGGATCCAGCAAAAACTCCTACTTTTTGAGCTCCAAAGTATCGGATTATCCGAATTTCTGGACAATTTCATCCCAAGTTACATCAACTTGGTTGACAACCATAGTTTGCTTAAGAGCCAACGATTCAATATACATTAAACCCATATTAGAAATACTCACCAATCTTGGTGTTAACCTTTACTAAGTATTTTAACCAATATTTGTAATACTCACCGAGTTACTAACCATAAAAAACATCGTGATTCAAGTTTCACCATCCCCCTACGGATCCCTGTCAGAGCGTCCTCTTGCGACTCTAGCAGGATGTTGGCAGCAACTTCCTGCAGACGGTTGAAACTTCTTTTGGTATAGTCATGTTTAGTCCATTGTCTAAACCATTTTCAATGGGAGAACATGGTGGTAGGTGATAATCGTTGATAATGCAGCTTTTCAAAGAACACACACTCACCATCAAACTCAGAATTTTCGGAAAGCTGCTGATCATCCATGTCTCATTTCGTAGCGCCTTGTTGCGATGAGCCGCAAAGGCATGTAGCGCTTGGTAGAAGTCGAAGCCCAAAGCTTCAAGATCAAAGACCTCCTGGAGAGCGAAACGTGATGACTTTATGATGGTCTCGTTAATTTTTATGATGATAAAGGTAAAGAATCGTTAAGAATGGAAGATTTCCACCTTGATGGTTTGATGAATTTGATGATGGCTAATGATTAACAGTACTACGGGTGGTTGATCGGAGGTTCCATTCAGCAGTTGTTATTGGCTTGACCTGTTGGGGCGATGTGAATGGCCTTGATTTGCATTCTTACTGATTATCTACTATTCAATGGATTACTATTAGTATTGATTATTGATTGGATTATTTAATCTATTTTAGTATTGATTATTGATTGGATTATTTTATCTATTTTAGTATTGATTATTGATTGGTTTCTTATACCTATTTTAGTATTGATTGTTGATTGGATTTTAAAAAGCAGTATTATTATTATCATCATCATTATTATTATTGATTGATTTCCCATCGAGGTCTGAAACACTTACTTTGTCTCTATGCCTCTTGCAGCTCAACGTAGGCTTGGTCACATTCGACACAGCCCAGGGCTATCCTGGGCCTTGAAACCAGGCACAGACCCTTACCAATTAGCTGGTTTCATCTTCAATTCCAACCGCCAATGAGATTTTGAATCATTTCATGACTTTCTATTCGTTTTATGGATTTGACAAAATATGACCAAACATTCGATCTTGAACTCTTTACCCTCTGGTAAACTAACATAGCTATTGAACATGGCCATGTATAGTTGATTTACCCATTAAAGATGGTTGTTTTCCATAGTTATGTTAGTTTACCAGAGGGTATGACTTTAAAGCCCCGGGATTTTCCCCACCGGATGCCGCACCTGGACTTCGCTGGACAACAAGCCTTGTGACAAAGCAGCCTTCAGGGCAGCTGAAGAAGTGAGCTGTTCAACGGGGGGTTTATGACGGTTTAATCGGGTTTAATCCCATTTAGAATGTTTGAAAAACTGGGTTTGGAAATTCTATCCTTTAAGATAACCGAAGATGCCGTGCAAATGTAAGGGCGTGAACTAAGGATCGTGCTTCTGAACCACTAAATGGGATGAAACATCCAAGTAGTTGGTGGTGAATCTGTTTGTTCAGTCTTGGCAATTTGGAATTTTAACATGGTTTTAAACTCAGTCCAAAACTGAGCTCCGTACTATTTCAACACCCTAAAAAGTTGAAGGGGGATTGAAATCAACCGGTCCAACGCCGGATGGAGGCGCAAAGTCCTATCAAGAACAATAAACACTTCGTATACAGGGACATTCATTCTCCATAAACCGATGGTCTAGGTCAGGTGCTGGCCTATCCCCAAATTGGCTAGTTCAACCTCTATTTGTGTTGCTCAAGTTTCATCCAGATGGGATCACAGACAATATCACCAATTAGGCGAATTCCCGCCCATATTGCTTACCCAGTTTGTTTTGTCAACCCCCCATTCTTTGCTGAAAAATATCTACATGTTTGTTCCTGAATCAAGCACATCCCCATTCTGACGGTAGTAAAAACATGTAAAAACTCAGTTTTGCCGGCAATTGCCGGCATGGTTCTATTCCTGATACGAACAACGGTTCTTTTGCCCCCAAAAACCAGCCATTTTCGGATCACCAAAATCATGTTGAATCCATCGGGAACCAAAAAAAATCCCCGGTTCCACCATCCCACGCAGGAGTACCTCTTCCTTCTGCTTCTCAAGGCCTTGCCTGGTGAGAGTCAAAACATAAAAAGTTGTATATATATATATGTAAATATATGGTATATACAGATTTATATGTATATGGTATATAAACAAAAAAATCATATACACACATTTTATTTATATCGTCTAAACAAAACAATATATATATATATATACACGTATATATATATATATACACTGTATATATGTATATATACACGCACACGTAATCTAGTGCATAATTTATGTATTTAGTTATGTATATCTCTCTCTATATCTGTCTATATCTATCTAAATCTATATTATGTGTAAACAAATGGTAGTCTTTCAACAATGGACTGTGCAACATAAGCAATAGGCCCTGGCCTTGCTGGCATTGCCGGCGCCTGGAAAATCGCCATTGAATTTCCCCGGGTAACATGGCTGAGGTGTTTATTCATCGTTGAATGGTAATTCTATCTGTAATTATCATGCTGATTATCAAGCTAAAGCAGCTAAAGGGTAGTTGCAAGGTTTAATATGTTTAATGACCATCATAAATCCATGTAGTCCATGTAGCTAAACTTCTAATTCCTTGATCTTTGTGGACCTTTCCGCGGGATCGGTCGACAAACCATTGAACAGACTGCCGCATTCAATCATTCAAACTACCACAAGCCTGCATCAAGCAACATAATTCATAGTCTCAAAATGCATGGGATTTTCCAAGTTATATCAGGGGATCAGGGGGTCATCACATGTCATGTACCACCAACCTTTCCTGGCCTTGGCCGGCTGGGACGGCTGGGACGGCTGAGAGGGTGATGCCTGGATAGCGGATACATCTGGATTGTTTCAATGGGATCGATACTGGGACGATACTGATTCTTCTTTCATCTTCAAATCGTCTAGAAACCATGGAAAGCACATAAATAAACACAATCAGTTGAAGGATGATTCAACAACATGGCACAAGTTGATCCTATCTATCAAGAAACAAACCAAAGATGTGGGTCCTATCTGCTTAAGATTCCCGAGGTCCATGGTGGTAGAGCTCACCATGAAGAAATCAACTGCAGGTTTCATACTGAAACAAATCATGAGGATCCAGTAAATTATAGTAAATGAGAAAAATATAGTATAGTCAATTTACCTAATGATTCTCAGTATCAAGTATAGTCAATGTTGATTCACTACTATAGTAAATTATAATGAATCAACATGAATCACTATAGTAAATCATCCAAATCATCCAAATCATAATGATAGTAGTGAATCAACATTGACTATACTTGTAAATCAACTGGGTTTAGCTGGATCTTGGATACCATGAAATCCGTAATTTTTCAACACCAAGGATGGCCTGGGCTGCAGGCACTGCAGGCTTGGACTCGCGAAGCGCTGGCTTGAAGTCCCTCCACGGGAGAAAGTCATTGAATCACAATGAACCTGGGGAGTTTATAAATGAAATCACCATAAGTCACCATTGATTTGAGATATCTGAAAGATGTTTTGTTTGATCGATCTGCTTAATCCACACTTTATTTCTGGATGCAACACATTTTGGAGAACCTCCAGTCAATCATCAATCCGGAAAGTGTTGGATCGATCGTATTTTTCACTCAATTCGGACTCTTCAGACTCATGGGGAGATCCACCTTGCCATGGTGATATCATGAGTTCCCAATCCCCCCAAGGGCCCCCCACATCCGATTCTCTGGCGCTGCGACCGGCGCATCCTGCGGTGCCGGATGTAGGAAGCCTTCTCTGCAGCGGCATCTAAGGTTTTTTGAAACGCTTGTAGCTGGTTGGTGGTTGACCAACCCCTCTGAAAAATATGAAAATCAGTTGGGATTACTACAGGTTCCCAAGATATGGAAAAATAAAAAATGTTCCAAACCACCAACCAGGTAGTCTATTGTGGCGATTATTCAATTTATTCCATCACAGCTGCTGAAACCATCGCAGGACTTCTCACCATCCCTGGTCCTTTGGCCGACTCTCCTGAGCTGACGAAGTTGCTCAAGTTGCTGCCAGTATGAAACGTCCAATGTGCAGCCGAAGTTTCTGCTTGCTTTTGAGCTGCTTCAGCTTGCTTTTGAGCTGCCTCAACTCCCCCAAAGTATGCAAAACAAAGGTCACCAACGACATGCTCCACCTACAAGACGTAGAAACCATGCGCGCCTCGCGCTGTTCAGAGTCTCGCAGATTCTTTGCTGCCTTCTCTCCAACTCCTCGACTCATGAACTGCACCTGACGCTTCTCAGCCTGCCAAGCAAAACGTATGGCATGATGGATGTTACCAACCGTTCTTATGAGGACAAACTTGACATGTAATTTATCAACAGTATAATTTAGGCTGGATGGAACATGGTGATTAATTTGTAGTGAAGATATAGTGGGGATATGATGCGAGATGTAAGCAAACACGTGATATGGGCCTGTCTGAATATAGGGTCTTAATGGGGATTAAACATGGGGATCTTTTCACATCAAAAATGAAGATATTTTCCAACCATGTAACCATGTCATGGCGGGAAAAAAGCTAATAGTTTGATATAACTGTGTTCGTCCAATCTGAACATGTCGGGAAATAAAAACCGAAATTCTTGGTTGATCGCCAGTAAAAAACTGTGGCGATTGATATCATGGCCGTTTGGCGGCCCGACAAAACATGACAAAACCAAGTTGAAATGAATTGCAAAGATTGAAAAAGGATCAAATCTGGCGTTGCGCGAATCTTTAGTGTTGCGCGAATTTTTACCATCAAGTGGTCAGAATCATCCAATGACAAACTACCCTCCGGTAATCAAACATCGCAACGGAGCATCTCACTACTTGCAAATGATTTTCCATGATTTTCCCTTATCAAGCCTTATCTCGAATGGTAGATTTCACATTCCCGCTCCAGCTCAAAGGTACGTGTCTCCCTCAAAAAAAATGTTTTGCCCTAGATTTAGTATATTATATGGTTGGGATTGCATAGGTATATATATATATGATGAAGCTCAAAGCTACCTTGCTGGCTCACTGCCTCCTTGCTAGCTCAAAGCTCAAAGCTACCTTGCTGGCTCAGTGCCACGTAGCTGGCTCAGTGCCACATAGCTGGCTCAATGCCACGTAGCTGGCTCAGCGCCTCGTAGCTGGCTCAGCGCCACGTAGCTGGCTCAATTTTTTTAGCGAAAAAAAAAAGAAAAAAACTCGCAGAAATTGAGCCGGCTACATGCCCTTGAGCCGGCTCGCCAATGCGTCATGAACCCGGCCAATACATAGTTAGTATTCGTTTTGATGCTCTCACATTCGTCCGCCAGCTCAACGTGACGTAGCTGGCTCAATTTCTGCGAGATTTTTTTTTTTCCGCTAAAAAAATTGAGCCAGCTCGATGCCATTGAGCTAGCTCGATGCCCCTGAGCCAGCTACGTGGCATTGAGCGAGGTCGATGGTGCTGAGCCAGCTCGTTGCAGTTGAGCGAGCTCGCAGAAACTTCCCAATCTGTTAAATTGCATTAAATTGCCAGGTTCAATCCCCACTGATTACTTTAGTACTAGATATGGTACCTCTGAAAAAGCCCAAGGTGACTGTCAAAACATACCCCTGATGAAATTGAGCCAGCTACATGTTTTGAGCTAGCTCGAAAAAATGGAAGATTGTGGATTCCACTATTCAATTATCAATGCCAATTTAGATGGTTTTCCCATGGTTTTCCCATGGTTTTCCCATGTCTTCACCAGCAAAAACCACCGTTTCTCACAACATCGGGTGCTGGCCGCCGCCAAGGCTGCAGCGCGACGATCCGCGGCGGCCGTGTCGGCGCGATCCGCATCGCCGCCCAATGCCTGGGTGACCATGAATAAATCTTGGATAATTAGTAGGATAACCAATTTTAATCCCATTGAAATCCCATCATAATTCCCATTAAAATCCATAAAAATATCCTTGAATTCATGGAAACCTTCATGTTACCCTCTGGTAAATTAACAGTTAATGGGATTAATGGGATAATTAACAGTGGGATATTGAAACTAAGAGTACAGTAATAGTTAATTAATTAATGGAATACCCCGTGGTAAATCCCTGAAAATCACCAATTTTTAGAGGAAACTAATCTTCCAACCCCTATCTACCAGGGTCTATGTTAATTTACTGGAGGGTAGTAACTAGTAGGATAACCAATTTTGGATAATCATTATCACCGGTGACTAGCAGGTAGTGTCAAAAATTAATTGACAGCTATCATCATCAAGGGGTTTATTGATAGATATGCCCCCTATCAATGGTGATTAGTAGGTAATAAAACACATTAACAACTATCAATATCAGATTAGCGATTATCCAAAGATGTCAAGGATAACTCTTATTGAATCACAGTGGTTTAATAATGGCTATTGATGGCAAACCCTATTCATAGGGGATATGAATTTTAATTTGATGATTAGTTAACATTAAAACCAATATTGGACCAGAACAGTGATTGGCAGGTAACAATATCAATAATCAACCATTATCACAAATAATGCCAGGATGCATATACTAATATCAGAATCAACTACTATTAACAATATGATGAATATTGTTGTGATAAACGGTCCAAATTCCCGCCATAAAAGGGTTGCAGCATCAAAAAAGGGGTTGTGGACCATGCCTTCCGCTTCTGATTGTTAGTTTTCCTCTTGGAAGTTGAGAGTTGATTGGGGTTAAGTTTCGGATTAGTGCTGCAGAAATCAATGTGAACATCTTTCTGAAAAATCTGAGGGATTCCGATTCAGGAAAAAGTGACTAAGGGAACATCTTGGCCAGAGGCCGGTTTGGCGCCCTGAATGGTGGGGCGATCGATGTGAAAAGCAAACCGCGACAAATGACACGCTGCCGTGGTTGAACTGTAGGTTCCACCCACCCAACAGCTCAAATCTAAACCTCCGAATAGCATTGAGTCATCTATTTTGTTGAATGAACCGAGTCATATCATGAAGCACGCCCCAAAAAATGGATCCAGCTGGGGGTACCCCAGCCCACCTGACCGGTGCCAACGTAGAGGCTCTGGTTGCCACCTGGGAAGCATCGCTTCGGGGGCCAAAAAATGGGAGGCTTTTGGCCTGGATGATGTCAAGCCATGATGGTTGGATGATTGTTGGATGCTTTCTGGTGTATGGATGATCTTTAGATATCATTAGATGACTTATGTTTCAAATTTGATATGGGTTTGTCTGAAAATAGGGTATATTCCGATTTGTAGCCATGTAATAGGGATAATGATCATTAACCATTGGGTTTAGGAGTACACTATTTTCAGACACACCCATATCAATCCTCGACCTGATGCCAAGCCATCATAGTTTTTTGGTTTACCAAAAAAGGGCGACGGTATGAGGCCTCCAGGGAACTAGCCTGTCTCCCCAAAAAAACAAGCGCTTTATCATCCCTTGTTGGATTAGCACCATGTATATCCGTTTATTTCATAGCAATATCTGGACATAGCAAAATGTTACTACCAATGCTACCTCATTATCTGATAGCAATTTGCATCTCTAGGCGACAATCTCCACGAACATGTCCAAATTTCAACCCAGCCCCACGGTGGGGTTTCCTGGTTTCATTACGTTGCAAAGACCAAGGGACGTTGAGTGACTTCCAGCAAGATGGTGCCTTCTTTGCTCAAGGCTGAGATCCAGCCTTTGTTGCCCTGAGCTTTGGAGATGTGCTGGGCAGGGTTGCTTCAAACTTTGGATCAAAATCCCATGGCCTCAAACCCTACTTCAAACCCCAATGACACCTCTTCAAATATGATAAATTATGATAGCCTGGGGGGTTGGACCCTGCTCATTTTTCTTTCAAGTCATTTGATGACCATTTTTGGGCCCCCAATGAGACAAACCCAGCTTTCCAAGGCCTGGCTGTCTTTGGCCATGAAGCGACGTCCTGCGAGTCTGACATTTTCCAACGGCACAACGGAGAAACCCACCATTTACCCACCATTTCCTATCATTTACCCACCAGTTTCTCTGGTGATGCCTGTACTTCGATTTCATGGGTACCGGTTAGCCATGGTTAGCCCACTTTGGTTTAGGCGTTCCCCAGGTTGGGATGGTGCCACGCCACTCCAATGCCTTGTTGATTCATGGCCGTAGCCCGACCGAGTTTCTGGGTGGTCCAATTCTCAAATTGTAACTGATCGTAGTTTCGTGTTACATGAAACTTACATTACTTATCTTGACCTACACAATTCATTGTGACTGGTGAGGTTACTGTGAACCGATCCAGTTGGTTGACCCAGGTCAATCCCATCCAGGTCAATCCCATCCAGACCGTGCCTGTGGCTTCGGTGCCGGATTTCAAGATCTCTAACTCTTCCCCCGTAGGAAGTCGACGAACCTGCGAAGATTCATGGATTCTCGGGACCCCAAAAAATTCACAGGGATAAAGCAAGAGGAAGCAAGGAGTCTATCAACATGAAATGTGGATATAACGATTTTAACCAATAAAGCTTCTTAGTTCAGCTTTTAGTTACGACTTAACCAACAAAGAGCGGCTGCTTGGGTGGTCCACGTGAATCCGCAGCTTTCTTCATATCAAGGGGAAGGGATGATACATGGATCCTTGAAAAAGGGAATCTCAAAGAAGATTTTTGCTACTGGTGTTGGCTCTTTTTGGGTTCTGAATTTAAGATTATTGAATGAACAATGGGAAGTTCATAATAAACATCGAGAAACATGTGACATGTGATAAATGCTGGGTATTTTTTTTCAAGATAAAAATGCGTTGTCCACTTCAAGATGAAGCAACCCAGCGGGATTCAAATGCTCAGGTCTGGAATGGTCGAGCCCCACCGTTTCGAATGATGTGGGGGATATTGAAGTCATGTGACTAAGCCAAAATCACAAGGGTCTTCGACATTCCCTTTGAATGGTGTAAATTCCAGAGAAAGGTAGGGCGCTTCCACGATCACATATTTGGGACCATAGAATGGAGGCGTTTGATATCAGGGGCATGAGATATACCCATTAAACCACCATTGTTGAGGGTTAAATCCCCCTAATATCATAATTGATGGTTATATATCCCATTCACAGCCCTATCACCATAATTCTATCACCATATGACAGTTTCCTAAAATCGGGGCACCCCAAATCTGTCAAAACTATAGTTTACTTGAGTATTGACACCTATTTTGGGGGTCCCCTTCTGTTTAGGAACCCCCCAAAAAATGTGTTGGGGATAGGATTCAGCCGTTCAACCCAGCTCCAGCTCATGTCCTGACGCCCAGGCACCATATCGCTACTCATGTCCTCCTCCCGCCGCATGACCACGGTGGTCTTGCAGACGCAAGTGTCCTGTGACGGTTTGATCATCCAAAAATGGCGGTGAAATCAATCAGAAAACCAGAAGTTTACCAGTAAAAAAGAAGATTTAACTGTTATGAAAGTGGAATTTGACCAGCCAACATCAACGCAGAGTAGCCAAACTTGGAAGTTCACCAGCCAATGGGGATTCATCTCGGGAATTTTTACCATCCAACCCCAGCTGATTCGGTCCCCTGAAGAGTGAATAGAGTGAATGTGAACATGTCCATATCTCACACACAATCTATATGGTTAATATATGGTTGATATATGGTTAATATATGGTTATTATATGGTTAATGATTGTTAACAATAATCTTTGACTTTCCTAGCAACTATGAAAGCTAAAAAATACCCGACCTGGTAAACTACAGAACACGAACTGGAAAGATCCACCATTTTCAATGGGTAAATCCTCTATTTCGACTGGGCCATTTTCAATAGCAAACTGTAACAAATTTCCGGTCACCATCACAGATTCGGTGATGGCTGGTCAGCCGGATCACCTCAAAGGATTGAGAAACAAACTGCCATTGGATGGTCGTTGAAGGGGGCGAAATATTTGACCGATTTATGAATGTGATTTCGGCTATAATATATATATATATATATGTGTAACTGGCTTGAAACTCTGAGTTATGATTTATGAATGTCTGGTTGGTGGTTTAACCACCTTGAAAAATATGAGTTCGTCAATGGGAAGGATGACATCCCATATATGAAATGGAACATAAAATTCATGTTTGAAACCACCACCCAGATATAGATGTAACTGGCTTGAAACTCTGATTTACCAATATCCATGATTACCCTCTGGTAAACTAACAGTTCGCTATAGAAAATCCAGCCATTTTTTTCCAGAACGGTAAACACCATCTATTTCGATTAGGGCAATTTTCAATAGCTATGTAACAAATTACCAGAGGGTATGTAGAAAATCCAACCATTTTTAAGAACGGTAAACCATCTATAAATGTTAGTTTACCAGGCCGGGTAAATCCCAACATGTTTTGGGGCTAAAGCAGCCTGAAAGCCCAGTCCCCATCAGTCCCCAGGTCGGATGCTGGACCACGGTATCTCAGATGCCTCAGAGGATGGGTCGTCCGGCGTCCCCCAAGCTTTTCCAAACTGGTCGTGTCAAAACTTGGTCAAGAAATCTATCTCCAAACATATCGAAAAACCAAGATGTTTCCAAGATGGTTTCCAAGATGTTTTTCGATATGTTTGGAAAAACTATGTTTTCTGTCAAACTGGTTTCTCTAAAAGTTTTTTCTAAACATCTTGGACACACTCCGTTGAAAACTCCACCAGGCTTGCTGGCCGTTGCGGTCGCGGCTTCGACCTTTGGCTCCACCTTTGGCTCTGGCAGCGCGGTGACCGGTGCGTCCAGCACGAAGGGCCGCGCGGTGCTTCGGAACATGAGCGCCGTGTTGGACGCAATGACACTGGCCCAGCCTGACCAAGTGGAGCGGTTGGGGTGGGGAAATGATGCCAAAGCTGGAAATTGGACAGCACGGGAGGAACAACTCTGAAACGTGCTGCAGTTGAAACTTGGAGTTGTGACAAAATTTGATCAAATACAGTATATGAGACTACCGCAAATGGAGAATACAGTATATAGTAATATAATATACGTTGTTTGAAAGCAGCATTGTTTCTTAACCGTGCCGATGAAACTCAAGCTGCAAGGCGCGAGTCGCAGAATCAGTCACTCCAGTGAGAATATCCTTCAAAACCTGCTAACAACCCGAAGAAACCCTGCATTTTTGAGATTCAGCTTCTCAGGTGATCATTAGGCGATGGGGTTCTATCGCTTGACATTGGTATATGGATGTATACCAGTAGTACCGCACAAGGCGGTGGCGGAAGTTTCAAAAATAGGAAACCTATAGGAGAGATTGGTTGTTGTGAATCAGGGATGGCAGAGCGAATCCACTGATGGACCGAAAGGTGCTTGAGGTCTCCTCTCTTTCTCTCTCTTTCTCTGACTATCTACTCACCTACCAACCTATCTTCTATGTATCTATCTATCTATCGATCCATCTATCTATCGATCCATCTATCTATCGATCTATCTATCTATCTGTCTATCTATCTATCTGTCTATCTGTCTATCTGTCTATCTATCTATCTATCTGTCTATCTATCTATCTATCTATCTATCTAATCAAATCTATGAAACCGCGCCCAACACTGCAGATTGGTCATGAAAATTATTACAGACTCCAAAAAGACCATCAACAAAGGATCAAAGCAACGAAAACGGTCTGCCACACATGACTCCGCACTGTACCAAGAGCCACGGGTTGCAACAAATTTGGACAAATTGTACAGTAGCAAGAAGACGTCCGAAAAAGTATGTGACGACTGCTCTCTGAGTCACTGGATCGTGAATTTCCCGGACTTCTTGCGACTTCACCTCCTGGGGCCGCCGAATTCTGCGAAAATCATGATCCGACCGCACCATGAAAATGCATCACGCAATGCATGCTGAGGGAGAGATGGTTCCAATCGCAACCACAAAAAAAGTATCAGAATTGAAACATGCGGTAAAAAACTGCTTCGAATTTTCTACCGTAGGTCAACAAATGCCTATATAAAGATCACGCAACTGGTGAAGCGCCAAAGGAAAAATCACATAGCAGATTGTTAAATAAATGAATAATGTTAACCTGAAATTAACTTGAGGCTATAGGGGAGGAAACGAAAGCTAGGAGGTTCAAAAGAGCGCAAACAAACCCAAATAGACGCAGGTCTTGCTGCAAGGAACGGGCTCAAAATAAATCCCGTCAAAACAAAAAATGCTGGTTTTTTCAAGCCTCAAACTCGCATCACCTTGTCTGCTATATCATCCTGTCTCCCATCGTTTTGTCCCTCCCATCGTTTTGTCCCCCATGGTTTTGTCCCACAACATCTTGTCTCCCATCATCTTGTGCGCCATCATCGTTTCCCCCGTCATCTTATCTGCCATCATCCTGTCTAAGCAATGGGTAGATAGACTAGATAGAGGCATCGATGGATAGATAGCAATAGAAAGAAAGACAGAAAGATTGATGGTTGATGGGTGAACCTAGAAGGGTAACAGTAGACAGATAGAAAGACTACATGAGATCAGATTGGACTCCAGTAAATTAGATAAACAAGGCAGGCGAGACGCATGAGATAATTCGCTGAGCTAGACACAAAAAGTAAATAGATTGATAGGATTAGGTTTATTGAACAGATCATCCTTGCAGAAACAGCGACAGCCCACTAAGATCAACCAAACAATGACAAACGTGTCTTTAGCCAACGCGTTCCCAATGCAACAAACAACAGGTCCTGAGCATCCTCGTCTGCCAGCACTGATGATGCTGGAGCTTGGAGCTGCTCCTGGGATTCCCCGACCCTGCTCTGTGCGGCTCTTCTGCAGTGGCTCTGTGGTTGCGCTGACTGTGGCGGCGGACTGTGGCTCTGACACTAGCACACTCACGCTAGCTCGGACCAGCTCTTGAACTTGTTTGCACCCTGCCGTACTAAGCGGGGCAGGCCACCGCTCTTGAAACGCTGAAAGGACTGAGAAACCAACTGTCTGCCAGGGTCTTCGTTAACTTCAGGCGGTGCTTCGACACTTCCTCCTGACAACGACAACAGCTGGACATTGCTCTGAGTAAACATGCCCAGGGGAATTTCAATCGCCGATCAGCCGCGCTTCAACGACCCAGCCTGATTTTTTTCATCCAATTCTGTGCTGAGAGCATCCGCGCGATCGAGCAAGCCCTGGCCAGGGGCTTCGGATTGGGCTTGAGATAGGAACACCATAGGACCACCCAATTCCCCGCCTGGAATTGGCTGCAAAGCGTCGCCACTTCGTCGTCCGCCATGGCTGAACAACAAAGCTTTGGGCTGAAAAGGTCTTCGGAGTTCTGACATGTCGGCAGAAATCGACGCAATTCAATTTCCAAGGATCTTCTCGCACTGATGGACATCTGTACGAAGTATTCGTATGATCATATCATCGAATCATGGACGTGTAAATTGCGTTCTTGCCAAAGTGTTAATGAAACACGCGCGCGCGGTTGTAATTAGATAGGTGCACATAGCTGCAGCATGTTTTTCCGCCAAAGCACTCATGGGGGAATACTGGCTCAGTTTGGCCGCCGGTAGGTCCTGGCACATCAGTCGGTTCAACAACCGAGGCATCACCACGTGTTGGGCTCCAATTTCTGCCTTGTTTTCGGGTCCCAACCCAAGCGTTCTTCCCTGGCATGAGCTGTTTTGGAATTCAAAAAAATTACACACTTCGCGTCAATGGTTCGATATGCGGACTGAACTGAGGAGCCAACACTTCTCTGTCAGCCTCTTCCAAAAAATTGAAGTTTGTGACGTTGCTTTCCTCCGGGGAAACGAAAATCTTGCTGACTTGGTGTTCGAAAAATGATGCCCCCACAAAGTTAGGCGACGACAAAGGGCAGCGAGTTTGGCGGAAACCCTGACAATGCAATTTCCGAATATTTCCGAGTCATTGAGAAGTAAGAACCCCTAATAGCTGACGCTATCTGGAGAAAAACTCTATTATTTTTGAGCCGAATTTGAACCCAGATGCCCGAACCGCCTGCAAGAATTCGGCTTTCCGCGACATCAATTGACGAAATGCCTGAAAAAATCGAAACAACGAATGGACTGATGAGAGAAAATGAAAATAAAACACACCCTGGCGTGAAACGTTGGCTCTGGCCCCAGCCTCTGTTGCAACACGCTCGTTCAGGCCCTGTTGCTTGTCTGCATGTGTTTCGAGCATCAGATCCGGTCACGGGTGGTGAAAGAAACGCTGTGCTGAGACTGAGACATTCTGCATACCAAATGGTTGCCATGGACCAGGTATGAACAGCCTTGAAGACTCACCGGCGAGTTTCCAAGTCCTGCTGGCTTGTCGGGCAAGCTCTGACTGTCTGGTTCTTGCTCAACAATCAAAAGTAACAGGAAAACGACTGCTAACAAGCTCGCGCCCACACAAAGTTTTCGGCACCAAACCAAAACCAAGCCGCCAGATGCTTGGATTGATCCAATCGAGCTTTCGCATGCGCCATGAAGTCAAATGCCTCCAAACCATCACATGTACGTTTGAAATTCAAAGCAGCATATCTTCAACGCCTTCAAACAGGCGTTGGCCTCTTTATTTTGGAGTTTTGCTATTTATAAATATTGTAGAAATATTCCAAAATAATGTCTAAATATTCTAGAACTATTCCTGATTCCTCCTGGCTTGTGATGTGAAGACATTTTTTCACACTTACATAACTTACATACATGTGTTTCTTGTGTGTAGCTTGCGGGTGCAAGTCATATGTTTGGAATGTTGAACCAAAATGTCCTCTGGACATTTTGGCTCAAGTATTATATCACCATCTTCATAAGTATGACACATGTGCCATTGATATATTATGTATACAAATTTTGAATCCTGCAATCCAGCTATGAGAAACAAGTCCAGATAGATGTACCCATGCATATTTACATATATACATGTTTCTTCCGTTTTTGAGAACTAGTTCTGGTATAGGCACACTTGCCATAGTTCCCGAAATCCCTGTCAAAGTCAGCTGGGTGGATGTCCTCCATGCTGTTAATGTTATAGGTCTCCATTCTTATCCCACAGCAACGCCCTCGAGCCTACATTGGCCAGAGCCTGCGGTCCTGACTGTGGATACACACGCTCTCAGATCTAAGTCTTCCTCCGGCTGGTCCCAATCCGGGCGGCCCAGGTCCTCTCTGCGAAGCCTGTAGCCGCGCCGAAAACGAGGCAGTTTGAATCGTTCATCGGCCTTTCCGGATGTAGTGTTGGAGGCACAATGTTCTTGAAAAGCATTCCAAATTGCATCTGGCAGACGTTGTCCTTGCCGCACGCATTGCAATAAATCAATCAGAGGATCGCCTGCCTTGAGCCGCATGGTTCCGCGCAGCTCAAACACGTCTGGAATTTCAGAAAACACTTGACTTTTTGGGCATGCTGTACTTCTGCAGGCACATCAGCATGTTTCCAGTTGCCACACTCATCCTGCGCCTCCACCTAAGTGCAAAACAATCGGAACACGTCCAAAGGCGCATCCTGTCTTGGTGTAAGTGCTCGGGTCCACTCCAAGCACCAATGGCTCGAAAGTCCAACATATTGTAGAGAAGGGCGGAAACCATGCTGATTTCTTCCATCACCAGTACACGCACAGCGCTCCAAAGCTTTTGCAAACCTTTCTCTTTGGAGCCAGCAGCCATGTTGCTGTTAACCATTTTCTGCACTCCCAGCAAGGCTGCGCGGTTTAAAGTCTTGGCGCTGACAGTCTCAGAGGAAATGTTCTTGGCCTGGGCGTTTTTTGTG